AGCCCATAATTCACTACCCCTTCTTACTCTTCGTATCTGCTTATACATTACGGGCCTTCAAACACTGATGTCAATAGGCCAACCACTCCCTCCACTGCAACTACCACTATCACGAAGGAATGGCAGGACAGTTTTCAAAATTAAACTCCTAGGTCTCGGTGGGTTTGCATCATAACGGAATGGTGAACTGTCAACATAATATCACCAAGTTTACTAGATATCCTTTTCTGACGAACACTAGGAAGAATCTAGAGGGGTTTAAACATACCTACTACCATTGTTTCCACTCATGCTTTCATCTCACTATTAAAAAGAAAGAAAACTGATTATTTGATCTTATGAAGTTCAACCTGTCATAGATGTAAGCATTGGCCGTGGAATAAGAACTCCCTTTTGGTGTTTGAGCTGCATAATGTTTAAAAGGTGGCTAAATATGTTTTAGGTGGTATTTGACCACCATGATTTTTCACGGGTGTAAAGAGGTGCTGCTCCCATTGTTCAGGTTGTAGTGATCGAGGCAGAGGCTTTGTTAACAAGTTTTTTTTTGAAATAAAAAGTACTCCCTCCGTTTTCAAAAACTCTTCCTCTTTCATTTTTTTTACTTCCAACAAAACACTTCCACTTTCTTTTAAAAAACCACTTTTACCCTTACTTTTTCATACCCTATCTATCACATCATACTTTTTCTCTAATACTCAATCCATCACATCTTACTTTTACCCATCACATCAAGGGCAAAATTGGAAGTCAACTACAATTTAACACTTCCTTATTTTTACACAAAGTCAAAATAGGAACACTTTTAAAAAACGGAGGGAGTATTACGTATGTCGGGTAGAGTATATGAAGAGAGAAGCTGAGAAATTGGGGATTATATGATCATTAGTGAATAGGATGAAGAAGAAGAAATGTAGAGATCCTGAGATATAGAAGTTATGTGGCAAAGCAGTGTTATAGTATTAAAATGAGGAGTTGCAAGATTTTGAGAGTGAAGGTTGATAGTATTTAATTGGTAATCAGAAAAGACTTGTTATTATTCATCACAAAGAATATCAATAGCCATCACAATCTGTAACTTAGTAGGATTACTAGATTACCTAATGCAAAAAGGAAACATTATTCTTAGGAAATAAACATAATAAAGAATATTAAAGAAACTCCTGCTCAAGCTGCACTTCGGGGATTGTGTCGCGGCAAGTGAACTCTTTGGCGCAACTGCAGCCCCTCTAGAATATACAATGTAAACATTTCATGTTGAGACTGAGTTCTAGATGAAGTTGTAAAGAGCATCCACAATTGCTGTTAACTTTATCAAAAACTCAATCTCAACAAGAAATGTTTACATTTCATATTCAAGTTCGGATAACAGCAAATGGGGTATAGGAATAGGATGGGTTAAGATAGACATGTTTGAAAAACAAAAATCTTTCAGATGAGTAAAGATTTTCTTCAAAAACCAGAGCTTTTTCCTCATTTGGTGCATCTTCTTCAACGTGTGGCTCAGCTTCCAACGCCCCATCACCTACCTGGCGCATCACACCCACACATGCCCTGCGTTCTTGGGGGCGATGCTTGCCTGCATTCTTGAAGGACCGCGCCTGCCTCTCATTTTTGGGAGCTCGCGCCTCTCCATTGTCATTCGGTTGGGGCCTCAAGCTTGCTGCGCGTTCTTGGGGACTCATCATTTCTGTAAAAAAAAATTAAAAAGCATGACATATTAGTTTAAGGACTTGTCAAAGAAAGATGATATGTCTCAATCATTTTAAGAAAAAAATTAAAAAGCATTACATTTTTAGAAATTTTGATTTGAAACTTTTGTTATTTCCCAAACACTAGAACTGAACTAGAATGTTTTAAATCATAAAATTGATTATGTGTCAATTTGGTTCATGTCCGTACTGCAATTTGATTAGGTGTCACAAGTGCCTTTTGCAATTTGATTAGGTGTGATAAGTGCCTTTTCCGATTTGTTTTCCATTATTTTCTGTTATTAGGGCTTATCACCAACAGGTTACTTATTAGCCATAACTGATGATGGTCAAACATGGGAACTTCATCCAGATGGTAACAGGTATAATTTCATCTCATTTTTTTGTTATCAGTTGTGATTTTAAGTACTGAGCAGAAACTGTAGGTCCTCTATTCCGTTCAATAAGAATACCTCTTCAACGACCCAAAGTCTGAACTAAAATCAAAGTTTCAGCTTTATTTTAAAATACACAACTTTATTATATCCTCCTAGGATGATCTGAAGATTTTAATTCCTAGGGCTTCCTTATGATGATTTTCGTGTGGAGAAAAAAATTGATGAACAGAGAATCAGTGATCTCATTTCTCTTGGTATACAAACTAGTACAAAGGCCCTATATATAATAGCTAAATACGATGACTTGATTGATGGCTTAAGCATAAACAATCTAAACGTTGAAGTAATCTAAATAACTTACGTAATGAAGCAATCTATTCTAGAAGCGTACTCCTAACCACTTTTCTTTCAACCAGTTTAATTTGGGGCTTACAAATTATATGCACCAAGCTTGATACAAATATATTTTATTCTAGGACTTCTAAGAGATTTGTCAACATGTGTGAAAGTTGATATTCTGTCTTGATATTACTAGTAATACCATGTCATTTTCAAAGTGTTGTCTTCTCATAGATGCTGGTTGGATGTGATATGTCATACTCCTTCCATCCCCGAGTATTTGTCCACTTTTGACTTTATTTTGGTCAAAATTGGCAAACTTTAACCTCAAATTAAATAACAGTGATTTTTTATATTGATACAAAAATAATTCATAAGATTTATTTTATAAAATATTTTCAAAATATTGTTTATGTAATTAATATACACTATATATTTTATTTTATTATAGGTCCAAGGTTGAAAATAGTTGACTGCAAAAAGTTAAAGTTGGATAAATACTCACGGACGGAGATAGTATGTACTACAGAGTACAACTTGATTGTCACACATTAAGTGTACTTTGTAGCAGTTAGAATTGGAACCTGAAAAGATAGTGAACTATTTTCCCTTGTAGTCACAATCTGTTTGTTGTCTTCCATTGCACGACTTTAATTCCTTTGACAATTTTCACAAAATTCTTAGACTTTGATTCCTTCCTGGGTCGTAAGCCACCTGCAATCAACCATCAACCAGAAAACAAGTCCCTTGCTTTTCTGTCTTCCAAGCCACTAAACGAAAGCTACCCCGCTGATTCGTTTTTCTCGCACTGTTTGGTTGGAATGCTTTTGCCAAAGGAAAAAACTAGCCACTTGCTATTCTTGTCCTAGGCGAGGAAGAATCTTGTCGAAGATTTTTGATCTGTTGTCAAGGAAGTCTCTAATGCTCCGTTATACGATCTGGAAGATCTTCCTTTTCTTGCCGCTAATCGCACACGCTCTGATACCAATTGTTAGAAAAATGATAGGAAGAACAGATCAAATGCATAATAGAATTGTGAACTTCATTCAGGAATTCTATGTTCCTGGATTATTTATAGACAACAACCAACACAACTATTGGTACCAATCAACACATCTATTACTAACTAATAGAACTTCCAGAAATAACTACCTATAACTTCCATATATAACTACCCATACCTGGCTTTTTTATTTTTAAAATTTAAATCTAAACTAACTTCTGACCAGGAATTAAACAATACGATTAAATCTAACACGCAATGTGTCTGTTGTCTTCCATTGCACGACATTAATTCCTTTGATAATTTTCACAAAATTCTTAGACTTTGATTCTTTCCTGGGTCGTAAGCCACCTGCAATCGACCATCAACCAGAAAACAAGCCTCTGCTTTTCCGTATTCCAAGCCGCTAAACAAAAGCTATCCTGCTGATTCGTTTTTCCCGCACCTTTTGGTTGGAATACTTCTGCCCAAGAAAAAAACTAGCAACTTAGATGTTCTTTTTCTAGGCGAGGAAGAAATCTTGTCAAAGATTTTTTATCTATTGTCGAGGAAGTTGAAATGCTCTGTTTTACGATATGGCCGATCCCTTCTGCTGTAGATCGCAGTTCACACCGCTCTCGATGTTGGTCCGTCATTTCAATTTTGATTATTTGAATATTCGTTTAGGATTAGTTAACTATTCGAATATTAATTAGATACAAATTCAGATCTTATTCAAAATTCGTTTCAAATTCGGATTCCTATTCGTAAAAACCAAATATAATTTCAAATATCCTTGTATTCAATTCGATTCGGTTCGTTTACAACCCTACCCTCAGTTATCCTATCACTTTGCAGCAGTTCTCACCTCAGCAAGTCGAGAACTCATGGGTTGGACGACCAAGGCATGTTCCTCAAGACTTAGTCTAAGTTATTTTGAGAGAGGCTTAATTGGCTGATGGCTTGAGAACATTACAAAGATGCATTTTTTTTAGTTAGACGCATATATTAATTTTATACCACAATATTGTTACTAGTATGAAATATTACTATTAAATTTATACCATAGTTGTATTGTTATTACTACTATTCTCTACGTAGGGGTAAGGTCTACATACGCCTCTCAACTCGGTGAGATTCTATGAAGTTAGTTAGTATTGTTGTTGTTGTACAACAACAATAACTACTACTACTCTTACTCGTACTGTTGATTATCTAACATTGTTAGATATTATTGGTATTAACATAGTTGGAGTAGTGATTAGCTACTATAGTTAGAAAGTTTCTAATTCATAATTAATGTGCTCTTTTAGTTTTTGTGTTCAAATGAATAATGAAAGGCATGAGTGTTAATGGGTGTGGTACTGGTTGTGGTTGTGGTTATAGTTGTAGTGATATTCAAGACTAATAAAATACTGGCATGAAATTACTACGGAGTAATATGTTATATTTAATTGGCATCTCTATGAAGTCCTCTCTATCTTCCAATTGATGGTCCCTTCCTATGTCTTCTTGATGATCATGTGCAAGTAGACACGCATCAGTCATGTTAAGTGTTCCTAGACCAATTTGCTCCCAGCAGATCAGAAGCCCGATGTACTCGACTGCCCAATAGAGTTTCTGTAAAACGTTTGGTGCATTGCTCCATTTTATTCTCATTTATAGGAATGTAAGAAGTAATTGAAGTTAAATGAGTAGTTTTGCTTTAGCTCATTATTTATCCTAAGCTAATGCGTTGTCAATAATGAGGTTTTACAGCTTTTCTTAAATGTGGAGTACCTTTTTTGTGTTTAGTAGAACTGTAGAACATTCAACGTAGTCTTTTATATGCTCCCTTTGTCCCCAAATTATATTCACACTTACCTTTTTTGTCCATCTCAAAATAAAATTTGTACTTCTCCACTTTCCTTCTCAGGAATGGAATATGTGTCTCTTCCAAATGAATTACAAACATACACTTTTTACCATTCTACACTTTCTTAGACTTTGAGTAGTCAAACCATGAGTTTAATTTGGGGACGGAGGGAGTATTCATTTCGCTGGAAATAACTATAACTTCGTACTACGGAACAAGTTACAAATAGCTATAGTCAAAGCATATCTTAGCTGTGATGGAGATTATTATGTGTAACTAAGTTTTCTTTTATTTTAAGGAACCAAACCATATATAGTCCTGCATTCTGATTCCAAAGTTGTGTTTTAGAAAATCAATAATGTATTTCTGATTGTTACGAACAATAATGTGTTTTAGAAAACTGGCTTGTTAAATTCCAGATTTAGAACCATTTTATTTTGTTGGCTTAAACAGCATCTTTTGTACTGCAGCTTAGACTTCTTCAAGGGACTTGTGAAAAGGAAACTCGGCTGATAAAGAACTAAATATCCTTCAGCACCATTCACAGGTATATCTGATTCATTTACACTGTTTGGTTTGAAGAACTCAGAAAAAAAGGGAAAACAATTTTGGTGTTGGTGACTGGTGTGTGTTTTTCCAGTTAAGCTGAGTCCAAAGGGGAGCCTTGGTGCACAAGTTGAGTGCCCTCAAAGCAGTCTCTTACAAAAAATGCCGAGTAAAGTTTTGCTTATATTCCACCCTTGTGGTGAACTAAGGACGAGCCCTATACGCCAAATTCTCCTTTTTATTAAAGTGCTTTCACAATCGAATTAACTTTTTATTAGAATGCTGTCATAATCGAATCAAATTTTGTCATGACATATAAACATTCAAATCAAGTTCTCCTTTTGACATATGTGCCATTCAAAATATTTACTTCATTCATCATGATTATTATTGTTAGGTGGGATTATATCAATTCCCTATTTTGTCAAGGATAGAAAGCTGGTGAGAGTCTATTGCACCGTGGTTTGGTAAATATATATACCCTTCCCCTCATGGTTTCAATACTTTTGTCATTGCCCTCATGGTTATGATATAATCTGACGCCAATCTCTAGGCTAAAATATCTTTCAAATATTAGGTGAATAGTTCTGTTGCATTTTGTGATTTTGGAAATGGATAATATCCCACATCTCTTTTTTGTTTTTCTTTAGTTTTTTTCATTTTTTCATAAATGTATTCTTTTAAAAACTATTTTTATAATATTTTAAAATTATTTTTTTGTGGTTAAAATGAAAATCAACAAAATAAAAAGAATTAATGTACACATCATTTGTTTGGAATTATACATTTTCATATTTAATCTCAAAAAAATTCTTATTGGTTAATTTTCAAGCAAAAAATTTAATGAAACATTTTCTCTTTTTTCGCAAGGAAGTTTGATATATAAAAAGGACAATTAATTTATGAAGGAAATCTGTTGGGGATCGATTCAAAAAATGTTAAGAATGTATAATTGATTAAATCTCAAAAACATTACTTTGTTTTCTTTTTTCCCAATGTATTCTAAAAATAAGAATATTTTGTTACAAAAGATACAAATACATTAATTTTTTATGTCCAACATAAATAGTTTTTATTATTAAAAAAATTTTAAAAAAATTGAAAAATAACTTGCAGACGTCTATAAAAAAAGAAGAAAAAACAATAAAGAAAATTGGAGAGGGGGTGTTTTAATTTAGAGGGGCATTATCGTAGGAATATCAGAATTACAAGAGATAATGATTGTAAGATTTGAAACCATGAGGGACAACAATGCATTTACTAAACTGCAGGGTATTGATGTAATAAGCTTATTGGTGAGAATATCCAATTTTATTATTTCCCCTTTGGCCAATCTCATATTCATGTCGTCCTGTGAGTGTGCGCTGTAAACCTAAGATTTGTCGCGGCAACACCACACCACATAAGCGTCACTCGCTGAGAATACAGCCACCCTTGTGAGGGCGATGCGTGACTATTGTGTGATAACCACATAAGGAGACGAGTGGCTCTGCATTAGATTTCATAATTGATTTTTTATAACATTTGAGTTTTCATATTTAGTCTTTTATTATCAAATATTACTCTCGTAGTCTTTTTTTATGAAGCATTTCCACGAATAGCTTTGTTTTGATCTTTTGTCATGTTGGTATTAATTTAAAATCTAAAAGTATAATTTGACATCAACTTTATGTATAAGGACGTATTCTGATATTGATTAGAAGAATAACACAAAAATAATGACTATGATTGTGAGCTAGGATTCCGACGAAAAACCACATCTATAGACTATGGTTGTAGTAGAAAGCGACTGTAATTTACAAACGACGCATCAAGAGCGACCTTTGAAATTGCGTATGACTAGAAAGATATATTATCATTGTGAAATTATACTTTTAGGGCTCAAATAAACACCAACATGATAGAAGATCAAAAAAGGACTATATGTGGAAAGATACTCATGAAAGAAGAACCGCCAGAGTAGTATTTGATAATAGAGGACTAAATAAAAAACTCATTGTCATAAAAGACCAACTGCGGAATTTACTCTTTATTTAATTTCTCTCTCCGTCCAATATTGGATGTCACACTCCGAACGTGTAAATTCTTATTATTTTTGAAATCATTTTAAATACAAATTAATATAGATTTAAAAAGTATAAATTATGTCATTTAAAAGTATATATAAAATATTATATAAAACAAGAGGTGACATGAATATTTAATGTTATCACAATTATCAATAAAAATATACAAACAAAAAAATTATCAAAAGGTCGTAATAGTGACATGGTATTCATTTCATTACGGTGGAAGTAATTTTTATTATAAAGTTATTTTTATAATTTTTTCTTTAATGTATATTATGTCAAAAATGTTTTATATTTGAGTCATTATTTTACAAATAATATGTCATATAAAATATTTTCACAAAATGTACCTAATTACAGCATTTTTGCATATATAATTTTGACATTATAGATTTTTCGTCTATACACTTTTAAATTGAACAAATTATGTTTTATTGTTATTCATTTTGGAACGAAACACATTTTAAATATAAATTATGTTTCACTTATATTTTTGCCTAAACATTTTAAATTGAATAAACTGGGTTTTATAATGAACAAATTTTAATTATAAATTATATTATCATGGTTTTTTCTTTTGAATTAAACTTGCTAATATTTTTTTTGTTTTCTGTTGTGCTATAAAAAGTAAACTAAAAATAGGTACAAAATTATTCTCAATTCTATAAAACGAGTTGTGCTTCCGTGGTTCTAAAGTTCACATAAGAAATTTGGACTTTTTCCTACTTTTCATGTGCTTATTAGTGGTTTATCTGCTTTGCATAAAGCTCAACTCTTTTATGGTAATTTTATACTAATGTCCATAAAATGAGTGTTGGACCTTAAGACTACATAAGAACTTGTATTATAAAAAATATAATTNCCCCCCCCCCCCCCATTGATTTAAAAAATGATTATTCTCTCCGTGTATTATTTCAAAAATAAAAACATGGACTAATATAATGATCCTATGATAAAAAAAAATTAATTTAAAAATATTATAAATACAATGGTTCTTCTTCCCTGCATTAATAAAAAACGTTAATATAATAACCATATTAATTGTCCTATGATTCCAAGGGAAATTTACAAAAATATTTGACAGTTTTGTATTCAATTTTTTTGTTTACTTTTTAAATAGAAAATCAATCAAGCCTAAGAAGTATTCTGGTCACTACAAAATATTTTATCAAAATACAAGAGTTCTAAATTTGAAATTTTATCTCTCCCTTTGATGTTGTATTTGAGTCTGGATCTTATTCGCTTCTGTACCTTGAGTCTTCTCCACAACTTTTACTTGCTTAAATCTTTTTTGGGAACAATCCAAACCAAAAAGTGTATGAATTAATTCAGAGGAATATATGGGTATTAAAATATTTTTGGAAAGCTTTGGTTCATAGATTATTATGAAAAGTATGTGTATCATTTAAGTGCACTGCGGGGCTTCGTTTGTAAAATTGATAATGCATATCTCTAACTTCTAGTAAGCCCTACTTGCCCAGACCCGAATCCACTATCCATCCCTTTAAGTGCACCCCTTAAATTAAGTTGATTTTGAAATAAAAGAAATTGAGGGGGGGTTGTGGGGTGGGTTCGCTTCGGGGTAGTCGGCGCAGGGATTCTCATGACATTGGAACCCCATGTCATAGAATGACCTGGAGGCGCTCCGGTGTCTCGTTTGTAAAATTGACGGTTCCTCCCACTATAAACCCTCGCCCGATCCGAACACACTCCCCACCACCTTCAATTGCACCCCAAGTTATTTTTGACTTTGGAATCAAAATTGACTCTAAAGTCAAAATTAACTTGGAGGGTGCAATTGGCGGGAGTAGGGGTGTGTTTGGATCGGGACAGGATGGGGGGTTTAGCGAGGGATTAAGGGGGTAGCAACCGTCAATTTTACGAACGGGACACAGGAGCGACCCGAGTCATCCCATAACATTGTCAGGTGATGTTATGGGAACCGCCCCGTAAATAAATACTCCATTTTAACTTTTGGTCCCCAACCGATTCATCCTTGGGGACGGATGCCTTGCAGATGGACAAAAGATGCCTTCATCAATGTGGCATGCCAGGCAAAATGATCGCCAAGTTAGCTCCGGGGAAGCATTGGAGGGAGTCTTACCATTAAGAAGTTTCCTTGGATAAGAGTAGGTCTCCTATTTTAGTACTCCCTATTAGGACTTCTCCCTTACCATTTGTATAATCAAATTTTCACCTTTTAATTATCAGTTCATGGCCATTGTAATCCAGTGGCCACGGAAGCCACTGCCCCCCTACAGAGCTCCGTTCATAAAATTGATGATTCCTACCCTCTCTAACCCCCCGGTAAACCCCCCCGTCAAGTCCCGACCTAAACTAATCACTCCACCTATATCAATTGCACCTCGTAAGTATAAAGTCAAAACATTTGACTTTAAAGCCAATTATACTTACGAGGTGCAATTGACGTAAGTGGGGTGATTAGTTTGGGTCGGGACTTGGCGGGGGGTTTACCAGGGGGGTTAGAGAGGGTAGGAATTATCAATTTTATGAACGGAGCTCCGCAGGGGGGCAGTGGCTTCCGTGGCCACAGGATTCCAGTGGCCATGGAACCGGGCCGTTTAATTATTTAGGACTATCTTAGTGTTTTAATGAGATTCACGTGATTTGTGATTGTTTTGTTTGTGATTTGATCAGATAACACGTGGTGGATGTGGATGGAATAGAGTTTCAAGCTCCATCAATGACTATCACACCAATATGTTGAATATGTACCCCTTGGCATGGTACCACTAGAAACTGGAAAGAGCTCATGATTTTTTCACGATTAGAGTTTCTGCATAAATATCTATGTGTTCATATTATTCGATTCAATATTCATATTGAATGAAATTCCCACGAGGAGTGAATCGTCTATGTTGTTTGATTAATGTTCCATATTAGAAAGTTAGATTTTTTTAACATCTACAGAGAGAAGATTATGTTAGTAAGATTTCAAAAATGATTAGCACAACATCTACGATTATTTTCATTTTTGTAACATAACATTCATAATTTCTAGTAATAATAAGTTATTGTCAACTATTTAAATTTCTTCTTTTACATTTTTTATGTATTAGTAAATAGATTCTCTTGTTTCGTAAAGTAAATAAATCTAGAATAAGAATTATTTAGTGTATATAGCCCCTGTCCCAAAATGAAATTCTTCATTTCCTTTTCAAAACATCCCAAAAATATACTCTTTCTTTTCAGTTTTAAATTTTTTTTTGTGACTCACAAACTTTCTCTCTCATCTGCATCATTTTCAACCACATAATTTTACTTTATTAAATTTTGTAGCAAACTAAATTGAGGGCCCTTTTTTGGAACGAAGGGATTACATTAATACACTATGTACGAAACTAAATTCGTCTGATTTAGAACCATAAAGAAATTTATGGGACACAGGGTGTAATTATATGGAAAGAAATAACCCTATATAAAAGTAAAACATAGATAAAATATCAAAATAAAAAATCTTTTTTTTATCCTCAAAATAAAAGTTTGCATTGTGGTAATATGACACTGTACATGAACAACTCACAATACTTTTTGGTAGGGCTGTGCATCGGTCTAAACCCGGACCGACCCGGACCGGACCAGGACCGGATAAGAGCAAAGTAGTGGACCGTAGACCGGACCGATAAAGTGTAAGATCGGACCGGGATCGGACCGAAAAAAAACTGGACCGGTCCGGACCGGCCCGATTAAGGACCGAATAAGGGGGAAGCCCTTCCCTTGAGTGGACGACTGTGTGCTGACTGCCAATGAGAAAGCCCTTCCCCTGCGTGTCTCCAAAAAAAAATCTAATCTTCTTCAATCAGAAGTTTTCCGGCGGCGATGAGAAAGCCCTGCGTTTTGTCTGACTCTTCGGCGGAATGGGTTGTGTTTGATACTGAGACCGGAGACCGGACCGAATTAGGACCGGTCCGGTCCGGTTTTGGACCGAATAATGCACAACCCTACTTTTTGGTAATGTAGATGATCATGATTAGCACTCTAAATACATTTTAATTCATATTTCGGGAATAAAAATATTGAACTTATAATTTAATATATTTTCAATATTTTACTTCTACTTTAATATTTTTCTTAAAAAAAATTAAAACACAATAAAATTATTGTAACAATTTTAACTTGAATTTGAATATGATCATATTAGATCTATATTCAGAATAGGCCACACATATTCGAATCAAATCATATTATTTAGATAAGATTAAAGAAAACTAGAATTTAAAATTTCAAATAAAAACCAATTCGATCAAACGAACGGAACATGACCTAATAATATGGAGTATACGATAACTCTATATTTATATCGTTGTGTCAAAACTAAAAGATGGAGTAGCGCGTACGCGTGCTCAACTCATTTTGAAAGCCAAAACAAAGTTAATAAAATATGAAAATATTATCATAACAAAAATGTTACTTGTGCAAAATTTGGTATTTAGACTATTTAGCAATGCAAAATTGGTAAATAGTCCCTTGCATACAAAATTAAATCGTCAAAGTATGGTGAAAGGTGGGTAATGTACTCAAGTAACTCAACTCACTTTGAAAGCCAAGACAGAGTTAATAAAAACCTAAAACTATTACCAAAGGATAGCACCAATACTTTGATAACTCACTGCTCCCGAGAGGGCGGTTTCGCTTGGTTGGAGCGTACATGGAAGAATTGGAGGGAGCATTGAGTGAAAAAGGCTTGAAATTTTCAACTCATCCACAAAAGGGCCGCTGCCTTTTTACTACCCGAGATTTTTCTCCAGGTATCTTTCTCTTCTTCATCTCTACGAGATCTTCTTGAAGAAGCAATTTTGTGCTTGAACGAGCCATTTTTGCTATGTTTGGCTAATCAATTTATTCAAAACTTGGTGCCGAATAGAAAATATAAAATTTACTACATACATATATTTTGAAATTAAATATAAAGTTATGCAAAATAAGAAGTGACTCGAGTATTTTATCCTAGAACTGATCATTGTAAGAAAAGAGGATATGATCTTACTAAGATTTTTGCAGGATAGGAGTATATTAAGGCGTGTTCTACTCAACCTTTAATTTTACTTATCCATACTTCAATTACTTGTCCAAACCCTAAACTTTGGTTCAAATTAGAATTGCATCCAATCAACAGTTTCCAGAATCTAATTTTTAGACTTCAAGTTTCAGTCTTACCAGATTCCACTTAAATTTAATGTGTAAAGAAGAGACCCTAGTGAGCATCGGGCTTTTTGTTGATGAGTCGACCTTTTTCTGTCATATCAGGGGAAGTAATCATCAGCCAAGAGCCGTATGTTTCTGTTCCCACGAAAACCAAGAGTGAACCATTGCCGAAATGTGAATGGTGTTTTACATCCTCCAATGTTAAGAAGTGTTCTTCCTGTCAAGTGGCTTATTATTGTGGCCAATTATGTCAGGTATACATTAACAAGTAATTCTTATGATGTACATCAGGAATTTTGCTGCTTCTAATGAATATCAAGCCATTTGTATTGTCAATTTCTTGATGACACCTATTATGTACGCACACATATTCAACAACATAGTAAAGTCCTACAAGTGAGGTAGGAGAGCGGGTGTATGCACACTTTACCCGTACCAAAAAAGGTAGAGAGGCACTTGCCCATATTAACATGATTAATTTCAGAAGTCAGACTGGAAGTTGCATCGACTTGAATGCCAAGCACTGTTGAAAGTTGAACGGGATAAGATAAAATCCCTTGCACCAACGATAAGATTGATGATCAAACTGTATATCAGGAAAAAGCTGCAGAGTGAAAATGTAGGTAATCTTATATGTTTGTTTTTGCCATATCTATAGATGAAACATCTTTTAGTTCAACATTCAATCTTTGGAATGATAGAAATAGGAAATAATGATTTTAATGTCTTCAGGTTAGGCTCATAGCGCTCTGTTTCGATTGAAAATTTTTATTTTTTGGTGGTTCTTTTGGTTCACAATCTCTTGTGAGACCTCACTCCTCAATCTAAATTTACTTAATAATTTCACCTTTTAATCAACTTGAACCCTTCATATAACCCTTCATATATACTCGTATTATATACTGGGCGATCAAGTAGTGTGTGGTATAACATGTTGCCCATGTGTGTATCAACTGTCCCGTGGCGGAGGCTACATGGGCCAAGTCACTATAAGGCTAGCGTATGCGCTTCTTTTAACACCAATTGGTTTTAGAAGAGTTGGTAGCGCCTGAGGTCCTACAAGTGACATTGGAGCCAAGGTCGCGAGTTCGATTCCTAGCGAGAGCAATTGCTAAGGGGGATATTGTTGGCCATGTGTGCATCAATTGTCCCATGGAAGAGGCTATATTGGCCAAGTCACACTCGAATGTCATGTGCACGTGTGTTTGCTGAATGCACTATATAGCTATGGTATGCGCTTCTTCTAACACTAATTGGTTTGAGAAGAGTTGGTAGCGCTTGTGGTCCTACATAAGATACATAGGGTTGGCCATAGATTTTTCCTAGTACAACTTCTAAAGAGATGGGAACAGATTTAATTCATGAAGTACTTCCTTACTCATATGGGGATTGGTCTGTTTTAACTGTGTATTTGTAACATTTGATTCAGATGAGCAGAGTGTAGTGTCTGTATTGGAGATTTGGAGATCACAAAACCTCTAATATTATTTTCTTATTGACAGAACATCCCAACTACTGTCATGGACAACTACACTCTGATAGAAGCTTTAGTTTCTCGTATCCTTGTGTGTATTTCGCCTTAGCTATAATGACAAAAGTCAAATTCTTTGACCTTAACATATTTCTGTTGGAAGACATGGCTGATATTGATGGGGAGAAACTAGTGTTGTATGCTCAGATGGCAAACCTTGCAAATTTGATTCTCCGTTGGACTGGTATCAATATAAAAGAGATCGCAGAAAACTTTTGTAAGGTATCTAAGCTAGACACTGGATAGTTTTCTCACATTCAATTTCTTGCATATGTCATTTTTTTAATCACTAATAACTTTGTTACTATGTAGTATCTATTCATACTTTTTTCTCAACCTATTGAAGTTCAGAGATATTTCACTCTGCTTGATGCAATTGTTTTTTATTTACGTTTATGTCCCTGTTATGGTTGTTGACAGTTAAGAATTAAGACCCTTTTTGACTAAATCTGACTTTGCAGCTATAGACATTCCACAGCCAGAAATTTCAAGTTTATGTAGTTGAGGCTTATGTTTTTTACGTAACGATTGAATGGACCAATTTATAGATGTTAATTTATTCTTGTGAATGCTACTTCAGGCACTAGCTTAAAAAAATCTATTATTTGCACCTGTTGCCCATCTTATTCTTCATATTAATTCTGCCTTTCTGAAATGATTTGACATGCATATTGTTTACTGTAATATATCCTGCTGATATTATAAACTTGTAGTTTGCATGCAATGCACACACAATCTGTGATAGTGAACTGAAACCCCTTGGAACTGGGATCTATCCTGTAATTTCTATGATCAATCACAGGTAATTCCTATAAAGTATGCTTGTCTACTTTCCCTACCCAATTCCTGTAAAGTATGCTTGTAGCCTTTTACACCATAGTTGTTTGCCCAATTATCTGTGAAGTATCATGGTCTATTTTTCATTTTGCCTGCCCACTTTTTCTAATTGAGCTTTTACACAACAGTTGTGCGCCCAATTCTGTTTTAGTGTTTGAGGGACGATTGGCAGTGGTGCGTGCTCTGCAGGATATAAAGAAAGGTACTGAGGTAAGTCTTTTGTCAGATTTAATCATATGCAGATATGTGTGTGATGTTTGTCTTACACATGTTAGGATGCGAGATTGCGAGTTTGTTTTCAATAGTGAGGGGGGAATTAGCCATGAGTATATTGTCAACTGGGTGGGTGGGTGGGGGAGGGGGCTCATGGAGCATTGCCAACAATGGGCTCATTTAAAAACGTCTGCATAGAGATAGTCATCTTCTCTTGATAAGATGAAACCCTAAAAGTTCTTATCTAAATGTTGGGATTTATCACTTTATCAGTTGTTGGGACCTTGGTAAAGGATTTATTAAATATTAAAATCATCTAGATTAGAAGAACAAAGAGGGAACTCATATTTAAATTATAGTAAAAAACTTCTTTGATGCTAATTGTGTGCTTTCTATGCCTTGTATGCTTGGTGTTCTCTGTTTGCAGTACTTTTCCTTTGTTACCTTTAATTTGTTCTTTGTCACTTTGTGTTTTGTACTTTATCTTTGCCTTCTTTACTTTATGAATCTCCTGCGATATCTTTATCTATGCAGCTGAGCCGGGGGTCTCTTGGAAATAGCCTCTCTATTCAAGTAGGGGCAAGGAATGCGTACACACACCCTCCCGAGACCCTACTCTTCTGGGATCCAACTGGGTTGTTGTTGCTGTAACTTCTTTGATGCTAAGTAAGAAAAGTAGGGCCAAGTGCATTCTAGGTTTTTCTTGTCATTCGTATTGCTGGTAGAGAGAAGGTACTCTTTTCGAACTAGTTTTTTACAATATAAACGAGGTCAAAATAATGTGTCACACAAGGATAAATTATATGGTCAAAAGATGTCAATGAAAAACATGGAGGATGTTATTACTTACTAATGGATAACGTGGAAGACCTTGTTCACGACCTCCAAGAAGTCATTGGAAGAGATTAAGAGAAGAACAAGAAGTTATGGTGGATTGGAGAACAACCAAGCCTTCTTGCCCTAGGGAAGGAAGAATGCATAGTCTCCCTTACGCACCCAAAAGTTATTACTCCAATAATGGTTTTATTGTGCTAACTAATATTCCTTATATAGGCAGTAAGAAGAATCCGACTCGTAAAAGATAACCGGGGAGGGTGTGTGTATGCAGGCCTTGCCCCTACTCGAAAGTAGAGAGGCTGTTTCTCATAGACCCATGGCCATAAGATCACAGAGGCACATAAAGCAGAGAAGGCACAAAGCACAAAGATGCGTCTGGGAGGGTGTGTGTACGCAGACCTTGCCCCTGCTCGCCTGCTCGAAAGTAAAGAGGTTGTTTCCCAAAGACCCCGGCTCAAGCATATAATATAAGATCACCGAGGGCCAACCAGAATTCCCAGATAGCAACTATTCCCTCTGTCCATTAATTTCTTTCCCACCATGACCAGGTACGGAGGTTAAGAATAGTTCAATTTACATTGAGTTTCCAATTCTACCCCTACACTTAAGCTTGAGGAAGAAGCTGGGGCATCTCCTCTGCACTGCTGCACACTATCAAACATGGCCACCTGAAAACTCTGCATGCTATCAGACAATGCCGCCGGGAAAAATGGTGGACCGCCCAAAGTTTCACCTTGGGAGATCTAAGTTACATCAGAGGTCCTTTTGCCGCCCTTCATCGTTATTGATCCATTATTTCGTTCGCTCCAACCCCACCGATGATTGCATTAATTCACAGTAATTAATGGTGGTAGCTTAGATCAATGGTCTTTAAATCTAGACATCCAACAAACCCTTGAGAAACTCTGAGAAATGAAACTTCAAAAAGTGAAAGAAAAAATGGAAAACGATGATGCTACTTCATAGTTCATAAGGAAATCCGAGGGAAGAAGATGATATAATTTGAAGGAGATTTGGGGGACGACGCTTAGATCTCTGGTATTTCATTCACCGGGTTTGTTTATAGCTGGACAAAGGAGATTTGGAAGAAAGATATTTGGGGGTAATTAAGGCATTTCACATTAAAAAGTATGCCAGAAAAGGAAAGAGGAAGAAAATTTATGGACGGACAAATAAGGAAAGTGTGAAGAAAATTTATGGAGGGAGGGAATACAAAATAACGTAGCGATTAACTGCATAGACACCTTAAATCTACAAGACTGCAACCATGGAATTTTTGGTGAAGTACCACCTTCACCGCCCATACCAACTTTATTTGGAAGTTGCATAATTCCTTTGTATTTTATTTTAATTTTGTTTTAATCTTATTTTAATTCCATTTAATTCAAATCTTTTTCATATACACACACACAGATGTGTGTGTGTGTGGAGATGGGGGTTAAGGGAGGGGGTTTGGGGGGGTAGGAACCATCAATTTTACGAACGGAGCACCGGAGGAGCTCCAAATGAGTGAGTGTCATCTGTTCACATTGGGTTCTAGTGTCAACGGAACCTTGTCGTGTGTGTGTGTGTGTATAGGATCAAGCGAGAATGCAATCTAATGAAAGAAATAAGAATGCATCCCGTGCATTAGATTTAAGATCTAAGGGCTTGAAAAAATTTTGATAAAATGCGGTGACATTATGGTAAATAAGTTGAACTTTGCTCCTAGTGCCGAAAATGTACTACCACAATGTAAAAATGCATCGTGGCGACATAAAAATGCACCATTCTCACGATAAAGTCTATTCTCGCAGTAAGGACCATTCTCACTTGAACCAACTCCTATATATATGTATGTATGTATGTATGTATGTATGTATGTATGTATATGTGTGTGTGTGTGTGTGTGTGTGTGTGTGTATATATATATACACGCGCGCACACACACATACTTCATAACTTTGTGTGAGTTTTTCCTGTAGAAATAGGCATGGGATCTTTTGTAACACATTTTGTGTTGAATGAAAAGTGTTGTGTATTATTAACCTTGAAGCTTAAAGAACTCCACTATCTTGAGTGTCTAGTTGCCACATTAAAGTAACTTAGATGGGGGAGTATTGGGACCTTATTTATCGTCTTTCTCCAGAAACTTGTTTATTTCTTTTTTTATTATATGTCTGAATTACCAATCTTGTTCTCTTCAATAAGGTATGCATAAGCTACATAGAAACTGCGGGAAGCACTACAACACGACAAAAGGCCCTGAAAGAGCAATACTTCTTCTCCTGCAACTGCCTTCGCTGCGAAAAAATGGTGCCTTCTTTACTCTTGTTCATATGATTTCTATGTGCATATGAAGTTCATGTGCTCCCTTTTTGGCTGAACTCTACTAGTTATTTTTAAAGGGACAAATTGATGATATCCAAGAAAGTGCAGTTCTGGAAGGCTATAGATGCAAAGATGGTGGGTGTAAAGGTATCCTGCTCCGTGACTCTGGTATGTCATCTATGTTTTGCATTAAGCCTTGTTTTTGTTCATGAGGTTTTTCTAACTGTAAGTCTAACTGATTTCTTTTCTTTATTTACTAGAGGATAAGGGATTCATTTGTCAACAATGTGGACTACATAGGGAGAAGGAAGAAGTAAAGAGCATTGTGATTGAGATCAAATCATTGTTGGACAGAGCTTCATTGTCACTTTCATCTGGGCGTATCCTCCATTATGGATACTTTTAATGCTATACTACCCTAAAACTTGAGTCAGTTTCGTACTGGCGAGTTAGCTTTTTATCCAACCAATAAGATGTTTGTGAGGAATATTTGCTCACCAAGAAGTTGATATTTCAGATGAATATTATTTGCATCCATCTAGTGGACAATTAGCTTATTACATTTGTTTTCTCTAATGGTGATTTTGGGAAATCAGACCAGAAAGATGCTATTGTGATATATAAGATGATTGAGGAGCTTGAATTGAAGCTTTACCATCCTTTGTCACTTAATCTAATGCGTACCCGAGAAAATATTTTAAAGGTATGTTTCTTATTTGTACTCTGTTTAAGTTTTGAGTTCCTGCATGTATTCTTTTGCTTTGGTCTTAGTATCATGCTGTGAGGTATTTTTTTTATAATTATGAAAAATTGAGTCTTAAAGAAGCCTTAAACATTTGTAAGCTAAGATAATTTTTTCTTCAATATTTCCTGTAGTTGTTCAAGATTATGAATTTATCTCAACCGTTATCATCACATAAAACTTATGTTGAATTCAGTTCACATCACCAATTTTGAGATGTGCAATAGCTCAGGATTTTATTGGGTTGTCGTTTTGTTTTTATTGTATAAAGTTCAGGATTTTCTCGGCAGTAATTATCAGTTCTCTGGAAATTCCTTTTTTCTTATCCTTATAAATCATGATGGTTTTGGTTTTGATGTTGTTTTCCCAACGATGTGATACAGTTATTATTATTATTATTATTATTATTATTATTACTACTACTACTACTACTAACTCTGTTCGAGAAAGATCTTTCCAAATGCCCTTGTTTTGTCCGTGAAAGATCTTCTCATTATCTTTTTTAACATTTAAAATACCACAATTACCCTCACTATGTTTAATTACACCTCACCCACCTCATTTAGGGTAATCTAGTAAACTTCCACCTTTTTAAATCTCCTTAAGAAGCGTGAAAAGTCTACTTGAGAACACCATTCCCGGACGGAGGGGGTATTATTTATTTAATAGCATAAGTATTAGTTTCCTATTATAAATATTTAGCACTATTGTATTAAGTTAGAACTCTAGTAACTTGCTTGCCAAGACTCTTGGGGATAGAATAAGTGGATGTGTTATTATATTCATTTACAAAGTCATCAATAGTTGAAGTCAAAACTCTAATTATGAGAAACTAGTCACGGACTGTTGTCCCGTCCTTCTACGTTCACTAATGTGTTCATACCATGATGATGAGTGGAATTAATTGATTACCAGATATTTATGGAGCTGCAAGATTGGAAGGCAGCCCTGTCGTATTGCAGATTGACTCTTCCAGTTTATCAGAGTATGCAGCAGCTATATCTTACTGTCGCATGATGAAATATATCTAGTTGTCATTTTTCTAGGTTTAATATACAAAGAAAAACTATAGTGGTGCGTATGGGAATTGGGAACTTGAATTTGGATTTCAAATCTGGATTTGATCCAAATTACTTGTCTGGAAACTCAAAAAATTTGGATTTGGACCAAATTCTTCCAATTCAAAACAAACTCAATTACAAACTCACATCTCCCCATGTCATTTACAAATTCAAGCCCAATTTTTCTTTGATTTATAACTTGCAATTATAAAGTGATTTTCCCTTACAACAATTTCATACATATCAACCCACTTCAGTCACCATCTTTGCCAAATGCAAAATTCAAATCCTAGAATTGAAATTCTATGATTTACCAAACAACATGTAGAAATTGAAATGATGAGATTTCAAATATTGGTATTGAAATATAATTTTTCAGATAAAATTAAGTTCCCAAACATTACCGAAAGGGAATTCGATCTATTATATATTTATTTGTTTCTGCAGGAGTATATCAAGGAATCCATCCTTTGCTGGGACTCCAGTATTATACTTGTGGGAAACTTGAATGGTCAGAGATAGACTTCCCATCTTTAATCATAGTTTTGATTACTCTACCAGGGCATTACTTTGGTGAAATTAAAAAAACTTTTGTCGTCTTCTTCGTTGTTTTTTTTTGGGGGGGGGTTAGGTGGCTTGGAGAGTCTGAGGAAGCCTTCAAGTCACTGACTAGGGCAATGGATATATTGCAAATCACTCACGGCACAAAAACGGCTTTCATGAAGGAGCTCTCGTTCAAGCTGGAAGAAGCACGCGCCGAGATTTCTTACAAGCTTTCAACAATGAGTGACTAAAGAAGGGGGGGAACGAAACATATCAGGTTTGTGTTTTTACTAATGTTTTTTTTGTTGGCATGCTTTTGTTATTGCAAGTTGAACATGAAGATCTATTTTGCACTTTTAGGAGTACCAAACATGATATATTATCATAACATGGATTGAGATTCTGTTCTGTTCTCTTGGATTTTCTGTTCATTTAAATTTCAATTATTGCATCCCATGTTTGAAGTACTTTAATATTGGGGAAAGTGCATTATTGGCACCGTTCGACCATCAATTCTTCGTTCTAAGCGCATTTAGTCCTATACATTTTTATATTGCAATCCTGATACCCCGCGTCAAATGGACAACGGTGAAGACCAAAACAACATTTTAGTGTAGGTACTGTGGAAGGACAACCTTGGATCTGCAGTGTCTGAATGGAATTTTGTGGTGTATTATATGTACAAAACCTTCACAATAAACTGTCCAAAATGTTACTAGGTGTATTATACTCCTAGTAACAATAAAGGAGAAGTGTTGCAACCTTTCAAGAATGGAGGAAGTACATAATAATGAACAATGTGCATATATTGATTGTTAAAACTTCACATGAATTGAGAACTATTTTTGCTCATGTATAATGACACTATGACTAATGAATATTTTGTGTGCGACTCTATTTTTAAATTTTCAAGAAAGCAGTTGGGGTACCAAAATCAATTTTAGAATGTCTTTGTTAATAAAAACGTTTGAATTGTTCATATGAAAAAATTATTTCAATAATCCCAAATATTTGATATTTTACAAGAACACTTCAAGATTACTTATCATCGGTAGTTCGGCACTCTAAAAAACTCAATATTTTAACAAAAATCTTCAAGAGAATTTTTACTTAAGATGGATCTCCCGATTGTTTTTAGTCAAATTTGTGATCAATGTGTATATCCTGATTTACATGAATGCTAAGTAGTACTCCCCATATTGAATTTCTATGAATGCTAGTGATAATTATGTAACTTTGGAGTATTCGTATAAAATCTTAAACTTTTGAGAATCTTGGCAAAGATTTTTCCTTGTTTATGGTGTAGCCATGATGCAAGCTAACACATCATTTTCAAAGCAATTTTATTTTGACATCACATTTTCGAGGTCTTAAAATCATGAAAAACAATTGTATTCCAAATATGCAAGTAATTTTAAAGTTTAATCTCACATTTTCCACTCTATATTCCTCTTATTATTGTACATATGTTCACAACTCATTGTGGTGTATTAAAGTCCTTTGCTTGATACTTTCATTGAGAGCTGAAACATAAACCCACGAAGGTGTGCTCAATAGTAAGATGAACAAGTGACAACTCGTTTGAGGGTTGTATTTGACATTTTAAGTTCATTTTAGATGTATTTGATACAGTATTTTAAACTCATTTCATAAAAAAAATGAGATTTTTCTAAGATAGTGAAAAATTAAATTCAGAAAAGAGTAATAACTGTGAAATTTAGCAATATGGCAACAAACGCTTAAATCTAGAGTATGAATTCTTAGATTTGAAGTCTTTAACTTTGGAATCTGTGGAGCCCCAAAACTGGAAGAATTAAATCCAAGAATGAGTCCATAGCCCTGATAGCATTCTAAAATTAGCAACAAATCTTAAAAAAAAGATTAGCAACATATCAATTGGGATTGTGTCATCAAGCAAGGTATGCTACAATATTAACATTAACAAAATAAAGTACACAATATATGTTGTACATCACCATATACACAATTTGTATATCATAGAGTATCGGCTTTATTGTCTCGAAATGATTTATTACATCGCATTGTAAAAAAAATTATTACCCAGAAAAACAAAAATGTAAAGATAAAACAACTTATACAAGAAAAAAACAGGCATCACAACAACAGGTAAAATGCACACATCTAATTGGAACAGAGAGAACTCTGAAGACCATTTTCAATGGGATAAAATTTGACCCCAGTGTATGAAGATTAAAATAGTAAATATTAAAATTGCAAGGCTCATCTGAATACCAAGTTGTGACATGATCCATCACAAGGGTATGGGCAGTCAATATACCTTTCGCTGGCTCGATCAAAATACCAATCTCCAACTGCAAGTGCAACTGTCTGCAAAAAATTTAAAGCCAATGCAGTTGTTAAACTACACGAATCGTTTCTCTCCATAAACTATGAGCTATCCTTTATGCGGTATATTTACACCAATAGATTTTTCTTGCATGTTATAAACTATCCCTCATTTTCCGAACATAAAAATAGAAAACCAACATATAAGACATTGGGTTACTCCTACCATGTCAACCTTTTAAGGGGGAAACTCTAAGCTATAATACTCTTATCTGTCCCAAAAAGGGTTACCCACTTCTTCTTTTTGGATGTCCCTAAAAAACACTTGCCACTTTATTTCCTTTTTTTTGGTAATGTGCATGTGGCTCACAAGATTTCATTTGCATCTAAACGAATTCTAAACATACACTTTTCAACATTTTTCTCAAACTGCGTGAAAGTCACAATGGATATTACATACCTTGCTGCGGATAACAGGAGAGTCATCGGCAAACCATGTGTCCTGCCTCTCAGATTGGCAGTGAGCAAAACACGAGTTAATGAATAAACCCGTTTGTTTAGAAGCTGCAATCCCTTCTACAGCATTCAACATACTAGTTCTAAACTCTGACACACACCCACACAAAAGAAAAAATTTAGGTGAGATTTCTGTCCATGATAAAAATTCTCCAACATAACCTTGTAGAAGCGCCTCAACCACATTACCTTGCAAAAAGTCAATCTGTGATGTAGAGCATTTCTGATAGTTTGATCGGCAGTTGTGCCAAAGGCCATTTGGGTCAGCCAAAGGAGGAGCCAAACTTTCTTGGATCTGAAGGGAGGTGCGACAAAAAGAGAGAAAAAGATAAATATCTTTTTATTAGCAGTCAAGCGACTTCTAATGAAAGAGCTAATCTGTATTACCTGCCATGTGTCGTAGGCAGCATTGAGAATGAAGAGAGGAGTTTTGATGTTGGCAATCAAATTCTGAGGAAAGAAGCACTGGAAGTACAGAGAAATGCAAAACCAAATTAGCAATGGAAACTTAAACTGGAAACAGTACGTATGTTAGCTGTCGAGAGAAAGAAAATGATTTAAGAGGCATAACTTACTGAGGTCGGATCAAGGCGGTAAGTACAAGTTCGTGGCAGGGTTTTCACAAGATCCTATCAAAAGTGACATAAGAAAACTGCCATTTATTTAATTACTTATGGAGTCTGATAAGTTAAATAATGCTTAGCAAAATACCTGCACGGTTACAACGCCTGCAAAGAAATTCCTAAAGTTATGACCGCCAGATACATCTGTTCTGCAGATCCATGAAGACAGATTCATTGCCATTGATTTTAAAGAACCATTCTAAACATAAATTGAAACACAACATTTTTGGGTATTTGCTGAAGCATAAAATGGTTGGAAATTACGCGTCCATAAATAATCCGGCATCACTCAAGCACTTCACTTTAGTACTGCTAGGAAATAAACTCCGAAACTCGTCGCAGTGCAATATTGAAGCAAGACCACCAGCAGAGCATCCAGAAAGAAGAGCCTGAAGACAATTCATGATTATAACAGTAACAATAAGACAAAGCAAACAGAACTTAAGAACACACAGAATGAATGAATGAAATGCATAGAAAACCGTACTTGTTTAGCGTCGCGCATTCCTTTCGACATTAACTCATCCATTGCTGCTTGATATATGCGTTGCCCTCTAAACTGTAGTTTTGCAGCCTGATGGAAGATTCAACTCGTATCTCAAGAAGCAGAATAGCAACTCCATGTTATGTGACATGTATGCCGGATCACCACTTTTGATTAAAGTGGTAATTTTCTTGGTTCCTATACTCTTAACGAATAGCTAGGCACATCACCACTGTTAGCCTTGGTGTTCTACATAATCTTGTTCTGATTTCACATATAATATAAGTACTAATGAAGTTTCAAGTGTGCAGAAATAACTTGATCCACTAAAGTTTGATTAAAGTCCCACATTGACACTAAAATAAGAGTGTTACGATGATAGAGCGAGCATTGGGACGCGTGAAAAGAGCTTGGAGACAATCCGTTCTTGGAAAGACGACCCCTTGGGCTAGGCATGCATGGGATGCATGGTTGGGAGACATGAATATTGTTATTATATTAATATTAATATTAATATTAATATTAATATTAATATTAATATTAATATTAATATTAATATTAATATTAATATTAATATTAATATTATTACTAATTCCAATATTAATATTAATATTATTACTAATACTAATATTAATAATTACTCTCTCCATCCCAAGATAAAAATCCCATTCACTATTCACATTCTTTGCCTATTTTCGCTACCCATTCTTTTACCTTCTAATTTTGCACCGATTTTGAAATAAATTGGATTAGAAAAAAAGTTCAACCAAACATCGTAAACCAAACTGTAACAATAAATTTGGGATTGAAGTATTATTATTAAAAATTAATAATTAATAATTATTAACTATTATTTTTTTGAAAAATTAACTATTATAATTATTATAATTAACTATAATAATTATTGTTATTAATCATTAGTAGTAATAATAATAATACTCCCTCCGTCCTATAATTAATTTCCCACTTTGACCGGGAGTGATTTTTAAGGAAGTGTAAAAATTACGTTGACTTTCCCAAAATACCCCTATATTCATCCGCACCCAAACCTTCCCTCCCAAATCGGAATTCTCCAAATCAAACAAATCCCATTTGGAAAGTGAATTGGTTCTTTAGTTCTCCATATCCACAAAGAATCGCATGTCTCGTGGAGCAAATAAAAAGAACAGAGTTCTTGCAGATTGAATGTGTTCTTCTACTTTTAGATCTAAAAGGGAGGAGCCTCCTCACAGATGGTGATGGAACTCGATAATTTATAGAGACGGCGGCGCAAACTCGGTAACTTTAGAGACGGCAGGGAAGCTCGATAATACTCCGAGATGGCGATGACAAAAGCTTACTTGGGCAGGAAGTATTCAGCAGACAGGGTCTGATGATTCTTTTTTGTATGGATCAAGAAAATTAAGCAAAAAGAAAAGAGAAGAAAAGGTAGAGGATCCGAGAAGGAAAAATACTGTGGAGAGATGGGGAAGATTGAAA